GTCATTTTGAGGCAACGCTATGGGTGAAATCAAAGGCACAATTTCTCAGTTCAGGCTGGATCATCCCGGAGAAGTGCAGCATCTACTTTCACCCTGCACATTTGGCACCCGTCCCAACTCTCCTCCTCGCGGGCGACTGCCATTCCGAAGATCTCAAGGTTCATCGCAAGACCAGGCCGAAATGCCCAGTCCTAATCATGGCCAAGCCCCAGCACTAAAAGCAACAAAGAAAACCGAAGCTCGGTTGAAATGCAATAAATTCGAAATCAGTTTGGGGGTTCAACATTGTGGGGCCTTGGCGGATGTTCGTTCACCTTCAAGCTCGGACTTTGGGCTTTGATCCGGCTTCAGAAATGGGCTCCCATCAGACGTGGGCTTGGATTGTTTCGCCTTTGTCGTGAACACATTGGCATGCCTCCAAAGCCATGTAATTCTTACAGCCAGGCAGTCAGAGAAGGACAATCTTGTTCGGGTTGGAGTGCTAGAACTGATAGTTGCTTTGCAGACCTCGGATGATGGAATCACCGAAAGCAGCAATCGCTGGTCAAATTTTCCGCTGCATATCCATCCCGAGAATCAAAGGGGATTCAGAAAATGGGCGTTCTCTATTCATTATCAATGCCCTTTGACATCAGCTAAAAAAACAAATATACAATTTGAGAACCATCCCCCCAGGCCACACATTCGTTCACCGGCGACACAACTCACGCACAAAGGAACCCGGTCCTGGATGCAGGTTTCGCTTCGGTCAGTCTTGGGCCCCGCTGCGGCAGCAAAGACGCGCATCAAAATTGGCCAATTGGAGCTGTTGAAAGGGAGAGCCGGCAGAAAACCGAAACGCCATTCCGAACAAAAGAATCGTTTGGCTCTTCGCTTTTCGGCCAACCCAAAGGAGGCCCACAAGCCGCAAGAGAGATTCCACCCGAGGCTAACCGGAGTGACGCACTCCTGATTTGCGCAAGCAACTAGGACTAGATTTATGGGAACCTGACTGGGGGGGGGCTGACATGGACTCTCTGGTGGTCCACGTTGGTGGGAGGGTACGTCCTACCGAAACACTACCGGAATCACTCCCCATAGCCAAACTCCTGGGCCAAACATCCGAAATGAAGCGGGTTGGTCGAACTGACCCCCTGCAAAAGTGGTGAAACACATGTTTTGTCACGGTCCACCTTTGTTACCAATTACATACTGTGGGTGGACAACATCCACTTCATGGCCCAAGTCCTTTGATGTTGGTTTAGTCATCCCCTTACCCAAATTTTGAGGGAATGAATGGCATCATCTACTCTCACCGGCGTCGTCAATTGCAAGGGTTTCGTCGGGATTTCAGAAGGCGAGATCGCGCGATGCTCAGGGGGAGCGGGAGGCAAACTCCACAAAGACGACCTTGCCACAGTCAACCCCCATCGAATCTCGAAGAAAGCATCCCTGGCAACGACTCTTCGAAAGATAAACGGCCAAGGGCTCCAGCACCCGAGATCCGGTGACACATTTTTTCCGGACGCTTGGTCTTTTCGTACAGGCTGGCGCACAGTGCCGAGGGCGGGCGCCCTGTTGGCGCCAAGCGAATGGCCACAGTATTGCTGTGACTCGCAGAACCCACCTCGACGGTTCGTAAGGGGGAGGGATGGGATGCAGTTCAATCGCTTCATCTCATTCCTCAGCAAGTTCAATTTGGGGGGAGGTCCTGCTTGTGCAAGGCCCTCAAAAGCAGCTATGCACCAGCAAAGCGGCTGGCTGTACATGGCTAGGTGCCAGCACAGCCGCACGTTTCACACACTATCGGGAATGCCGGAGGCTACTGGGCCACCCGCATTTCCCATGTTACCCCTTTGAAAAGACAGCAATGAAGTCAACTACACGGTCGCATGCGCATCCGCTCTCATGCAGTGCCTCAGCACCGCAACTGGTCACAATCCTGTGAGAGCTCCCGCTCACTGTATGGGCGAGTCACTCCACTTGCCAACCCACACTTGCTTGATGCCGGTCTTGAGGTCCCCCATCTTTGCAGAGACCGGCAGCCAAATGGGTTTCCTTCCCTCGAAGACGTACTTCATGGCAGGCTGGTGGCTCATGCTGCATTTCCTCACTTGCAACCAAAGGCATCAACGAGTTTTGGGCCACTGCAAATAGAACAAAACCAAAACACGCGGGAGAAGGCAACCGAAAAGAGACCAAAACAACAACAAAACACCAAAGCCAAACAAAGCTTTCTGGTGCTCTGGTGAGTCACAGTCAAAACTTGGTTGTAAAGGAGTCTACCCAATGTAAAGGATTTCCAAGGGCGGTCCACTTCTAAACTCGACCTGCCCAGGTTTTGATTCCTGGTCAAAGCTTCTTGGTCGCCTTGACCCGGAAGCCTCCGTAGCTCTCCGGCGACACCGGCACCGGGACCTCGTGAAAGCCCTCTTCGTCCATGACCTGCGCCACCTCAGGGCTGGGGACCCCAAAGATCTTTAACCATACCAAGAAACACCCATTTTCGAAACTTCTTTCCACGCTTTTCAGCAATTACCCATTTCCTTCAGTCTAGATGTGTGGTGCCTTTCTTTGAGGGTCCCTTCTCGGGATAGAAACCGCAAATTTCAGACGTTGGGTGGTTTTTGAAGGAAGCCGTAAATGGGCATGTGTCAATAGTGGATCCCCAAAACGCATGCTTTCCTTTGGTTCCCTTAACAAGAACAAACATCCAAAAATGGGAGAAGAAAAACAAAGCCCATGGGCCCATATGGGGCCTATGGCGCCCATGTCAAGTTCCGATCCATTTGGAGACCGGCCTGCACCGTGTCCCCAGTCTCGATCAAAGAGCAACACCTCTCCAGGTCCGCTATGCTGCGGGTATCCTCGCGGACTTTGTCGCTGTCTTTTCTCTGAAGACCGAAACCCACAAAACGCAACGGTTGGGCTCCGAGTATTCGCAGAGTTTCATCCATCCCAACCGGTACGCCAATTCGTCCATCCACAGTATGTTTTGTCGTGCTGAAGATTGTGTACTTTCTGTCGTGTTTGCTTCGTCGACTTCGGCCTGTGAGACCAAAAGCGTCATTCAGCGCTTCCGAAAGGTGAGAAGACCGAAATGTGACAGAGGCCCAGGTACCGGCCAATATTCATGCTCCGAAGCTCACGGGCTCTGCTGAGTTGCCCACCTCAAACGTTGTAGGCCCTATGACGAAGATCAAAGTGCGCCAACTAAATCGGTAAGACCCGGTAAGACCACCTACCAGTCGGTCTCCGCTGGGAAACAAACGTGGCACTGGCAAATAACAGGAATCCGTCTGTGCGCAACCAAATTCCCCAACCAAGGACCTTCATCATGTACTCGATCATGTTGCCCGATGTGAGAAAATGTGCCCAAACATATTCTAGACATATCCAAGTCTCCAGCAGCACCCAGCAGGGCACGCTGCACGCCAAATCCGCCAAAAGCCGGCTGCAATGCAGCGCCGCAAGGCACTCCAAGTCAGGAGCACACCAGAAGGAGTTCCTGACTGGTTTCGGGTTTTGGGTTTCCGGCTGGCTTAGCCCCCTCTCAGTCGTCCAAAGGAAAAGCCTAAGAACCTAAGAAGAAGAGACGGCACATTTCGTCCCGAGGTTCTGGGAGCTCTCATCCGGGAACAGCTTCTTGAAGCCCAGCGCCTGCTAGCCGCGATGTTCCGGGGACACATGCGATCCCAATGCTCCAGTTCTTTCGCCTCCCTCCCACGAAAATGGAGACCCAGAGGGGAAGAGGGAAGAGGGAAAAAGAAGGAAACGGATCCATCAGGCTTGTGCACAAACTGAGTCACAACACAGCCTACCCAAGATTCGGGCTTGGACGCACCTATTTTATGCCAGAGGCACTGCCACCTACCAATCTCCATCTACCCGTTCGGTTTTAGTTGAATTTAGTTGTGGCTCAGCTGCAAACAAAATCACCGAAACAAACACTACCTTTGGAGTATGTGTCCCCCTTGAGCAAAGAACAACTCCCTGCCTATAAATTGCAATGCTGAAACCCCTTCCCCGAAAACCCAAAACATATATGCTGTAAAAAGAAAGAAAGAAGAAAACAACAACATGGGCTCAAGTTGAAAACATCGAGTCACATGCCTGGAGCTGCCACTTCAGCACCTTCGGGGTGCGCCGCAGCTGTGCCGCCGCCAGGTGCTCCGGGAAGTCCCGAAACAGCTCCGCCTGCGGAAGAGCAAGTGACACTAGAAATGGCACCTCCTTTCCTCAAAATGAACCTAACATGCATACCAAACTCCTGTAGCGAAATCTACTCGACATCCCCTTTAACAGACATATAAGGGAATAGTGTCACTTGCCATCACAGGATTGCACATCCCAATACCCACATTGCTGTACCTCCGTTTGGAAACTTCATGTCAGGCTTCAGAAATCCAATCCCCATCCCAGGTCCAGAATTGCCCAACTGCCAAATCTACTGGTTGGCTTGCTTTCAGGGGCCTTGCGAAGAAAAACGTTGGCAACTGCCTGGGCAAAGGGGAGTTTTGGAGTTTTAGCGCCATTGGCAAAAATATAAATCCCCTCCTCTCGAAACAGAGTGGAGCAAAAAAACTCCAAAGGAAAAGCGGCTCTGCAATCGCTTTCCTTGCAGGCCTCTGGGCCTGTGGTTGTGGCATTTGTATGGGCCCTCCCCACTTGCCCCAGACCATACACTGCCAAGAATTTAGGCTCTCGCTGTGGGTTTTTTTGAGAGGAGGGATTCATACATAGAATTGTTCCTGTCAACATGCAACCTACCATGGCCCCACACTGGCAAAAACCCAAAACCCATTTGTGGAATCCTGTGACAAGGACAGCGTAAGCTGAGCCAAGATGCCGCGGAACGCTTCTCGCACAGCGTCCAGCCAAATGCCTGGTCCGGAGCCCAGACCCTTCGGTTGGCTTGGACGGGCAAAGTCACCTTTCATGAGCTGCAAATCCCAAGGTCATGCAAAAGCGAGGCAGAGACCTCAGAGAATTGGAGCAACTGAATGACTTTCTGCCGAGCACGGAGTAAGGAGCATTTAACATAATTAACATAAAACACCTGCCTCTCGCCGTGCAGTTGCCTCCCATTGAATCCACTTGCAATTCCACAATGTTACGGGCGGTCTCTGTGATATCCTTGGGCCAAGCAAGAAACAAGGTGACCCTATGGTGACCCTTTCAGCTTCAGGGCCTCCGCGCGTCCCAGGCAACTCGGCCATCGTCAGACTATCAATATGCCTCTGTCTGAAAATCGGAGACCACCAACATCACCAACATCTATTGGCTTCCTCTTGAGTTCCGTGCAGTTTGCTTTCAGTGTCCTTTCATTTTACCTTCAGTTTCCGTTTTGACCAACCCCAAAGCCGGGTCTCCTCCAACCATTACATCATCCATACTCGATATAATTTGTTGCATTCATCGCTAGCACTATCCTCGCTCTACAATAAAACCCTGTTTGGAGGAAGTCTACCCAACACCATTGCTCACAAATCAAAAGCGTTAGACGTCCACAATCCCGCCTCTAAACACACTCCCGGTTTGGCAAGACTGCAATCAACTGCTGGATGATTTTTTCCGAGAGGCCCTGATGAGGAGGGGCACGCCACACATCACTGCAAAGGGCCGGCCGGGATCAACGCACGCCTGGCCAGCAAATGACTCCCGTCTGCTCCATGTCTGTTGACTTTGCAGTCTCTTCTTGAAAATGACAATTATCTAGCGTGTATCCGTTTCAGGTTTGGAATGTAGTGATACACGTTGCTATGCCCTTTAAGCGGGCGCCCTTCTGCAAACTGTGCATTTTGTCGCACCCTTTCTTGCCTCAGGCTCAGCTCGTGTTTCTTTCAGTTTGCTACTCAAAGGAACCAAGATTGATAAGCCCCTCAATTAATTTGGACAAGTTGGGGAACACCTCCCTACTCCGCCGGGTGGATCAATCAAGTTTCGATAAAAGTCCAATTCGGGCATGATGCATCACGGATACTTTTGGTGGATGCATTATAATGCCAAGGTAGATGTTGTTTGGCTTAAAGGATTGCCACAGAAGCCTTCTATGACACCAATCTGTCTGAGCCTAGCCTGGTAGATTCACTCAAGTTTCCTGCGCGTTGCGTGAATCCTTTCGAACCGTCAGCCCGTCACGCAGCACCTCGACCTTGGCATGGAGCTACACCATTTCAACTGCCCACATTGGCAAAACAAAAACACAAAGTGACCCGGAAAAAAAGGGAGGCCAAAAAGTTAACCTGTCACCTTTTCATCCCCTTCACCAGACATGATCATGAATGCTGATCACTTGAAACGCGAGCTACGCTGGATTCTTGCAGTTGAAGCAACCACCTCCAAACACAAAAGACAGTGAATGACTGTTGACTAGCAGGTGCATCCTGTTCCCAAGCTACATGCAAAAGTTGAGTGTGGTCATGCTTTCTGAGAGACAAACCAACAGGGAACGTCACTTTTTTTTTGGGGGGGGAGGTCCTCTTCGTGGAGACAAGACACAATCGCCGTTCAGTTTCCAAATGCTGAACCTGTGCGGGCCGCCGAACCGTCGCCTTCTCTTTGACGCCTTTGTGAATCTGCAATAGCTTCAGCTCGTGGCCTTTTTCCTGCGGTCGAGCTTTGAAACCCAATGCAAAGAACCCAAATCCGTACTGGTTCTGCTGCAAACGTCGAGCTGTCAGTCTCTGCCAACTCTCCGCCCCACCTCCTCGATGTTGGAGACACCTTCATTCGGCTCAGTCGGCATCGGCTGAAGTGCCAAGCACTCTGAGCGTGGCTCCTGCCAGAGCACATCTTACAGATGTCTCCAAGTGTCAAACAAGTTGAACCCCCTCCGGTTGTCTTTTGGATTGCCTGTGAAAGAATATCCGTAACAAGTATCTGCCACAAGGGTCTCTATGTTCATACTTGCCTTGTACTGGATCTGGTGGTTTTTAACCTGAACTCTCTCCAGCCTAGGACCAAGTTCCACTGTGGAAAAGGATGTGTTTTGCTATTCCTCTCTCCTGGATCTATCTGTACACGCCCTCATGGGATAGGTTGCCGCTTTCCTTCAAAGGGAAACCAAAAGGAAACCACGCAAAGCCTCAGAGCTTCCATCTCCGGCACTCAGAGCCAGGTCCAACTTGCAACTCTTAGTCTTCCAGGGAAGCAGCTGCCCAATGGACATCCTTTGTGCTAGCGCCTTTCTGGGGGATAGATTCTGGGGTCACGCGCTTTTGCTTAGCTAAGGCTCCAATGGCAATACCAATAAATGCCTTGTTTCATGTCTGAGTTACAGAACAGCCAACCTGTCAGTGAGGACAGGAAAATGCTTTCCAACGTTCAACTCGTTTGTCCGTGCAAATGCGCAATGGTATCTCTCAAATTCCAGCTCTGTCTCGCAGACCCTGTCCATAAGAACGCTCTCATCAACTCTGGCATGACGTTGATTCCACGGAAACTGAAGATATGATTTAAGATATAATTTCATTTGTGCTGGAAAAGTTGTAGGGCCCGGGCTTGTACAGCAACTCTCTGCCAACTCCTGCGTGTTTAAATTAGCTTAAAGTTACGCACTGCTCAAACCTCCTGGAACTGTTGAAGGTGTTTCGTTCAAACTGCAGCTCTTTTCTAAGGGCATGCCCTTGAGACTTACGTTGCCTTCAACCAATGCCCTGGAAGCCAAATTAACCAAGCGTGGGCTCCAAATGTTGCACCTCTCAAACAGCGGTCACCACTTATGCGCCCAAAGGATTTGCGGTCTGGTACGCATGCACATCATTTTGTGGCAGTAAAGGCTCTCCCGCCCACATTGGCCAATCGGCTTTGCTTTCGGCCCATTCGTTGCCTCGGCATCGAGTTCCGGCGCGGCATCGAGTTCCGGCGCGGCATCGCGCCGCAAGGGCAACAGCGGCAACATCTGCATCACGACTCCTGGAGAAGGACCCAAGGACCTAACCAAAATGGTTCACTTTCCTGGTTTGCTGTTAGACTGCATAGCAGGCCAGACAGTCTTTGATCAAATGGCAAAAGCTTGTCCAGAAGAATTGCAAAATGATGTGTTGTTGCGAATATGCGGACCACATCAATCATGTTCCTCAACTTGCTCGACTCAAGCAGTTTCAGCAGGATTCTAGCAAACGTGTACAAATGTGTGAACTTAAAAGACTGCTGCATACATAGATTCATTCTGTTCAGAAAGGGCGGTTCCCTCGGGATGCTGATTTATCGTTTCCTGGATCTCTTTGTCCACACATTGGCCCCAACGCCACGCAAAAATCTGCAGCACCAGCGTCTTGCCAAGGGAATGATCGGGGGAAAAACCTCTCCTGCTCTGCCGGCGGCAACTTCGAGCTCTGAAATTCAGAAGGGGCTGCGTCCGGATCCATGCGAGAACAAGGTGCACGAAACACCGATTCATTCACTTGCGGCCGCCAAGCTGACATAGCAACAACTCTGGGAAGCACATCCGCGCGCAGTCGGTGGTCCGCTGGTCCTTTGCCGCGTCCGCTGGTCCACACGGAGGGGCAATGAGCGCAGTATGGAACCAAGCGGACTGAACCAGTCCACCCTGGCTGCTTACGGGCAGAAATACATGAAATGTCAAGAAAGGAGACAGTTTCCAAGAACCAACTTGGCCGCCGGCGAACTCACGCACAAGCCACAGCTGCAAAAGAGCAACTTGATCCGGGCGGGCGCAGGAACGAACTGGGCCCAGCTAGAGGAACATGAGTTGCAGGTGGATTCTCGGCGTTGACATGAGGCCGTACAAACACTTTATAGTATTTGTGCGTTCAGAACAACATTGCTGTGTGCCTAGCTTGGCTGTTTTGAGCGTCGGATGCGCTTGTTGGTGGTCAAGTTTACCATGAGATTGCGGTGTTGTTTTGCTGTGTGAATCAAAGCTGCTTTCAGAGCATCGAAAAACCTGCTGCTTTTTGTTGCCTTCACAACCATTGTCTGTGAAGACGGTCCGCTGTACATTGCAGACAAAGCCAAACAAACACCACAGCCCCAGCAAAAAAGACAATCAGAAGCAAGCCCAAAAAAAAGCAAACAAAAAAGCAGGACACGGAGGAAGACAACCAGAGGGCCAAAAACGCCACACACAATTTGTGACAATAACTTTTTGGGATCTGAGACTCGGGGGAGCTCTAAGTCAAGCTCTCAAAAACCGGTCAACATTTCGGTGACTTCTAATATGCCGCGGAAAGAGACCGAGTACCGCTACAACGGTTCTACAATGCACAGGAAATACAACCTGGAAGCCGCAGCGGTGTCTATTGTTTCACGGTTAAAATGTATCAACCTACTATTGAAAAAATATGTAAATCAAATTGAACAGCATTACTATTTAACTAAATATATTTCATTATTGTTTATTGTCCATGGTTTCAACAATCGAATCCATCGAGTTGCTTAATACATTTATGAATTTAAACACACACTAATGTTCAAAATCATTAAAATACCATAATTACAAACAAAGTCATACTCTAACAAACCAGTATCATCAACTTATATTATATCAAACAAATCATATTTAACTAGCTTTAAATGTGTTTCATGATGGTCCAAACTCCGAAGAGCAGATCCTATGAGGTCTGAAATTGGACCGTCTCTGCAAAAGCTTCTGAGCTGAGTCACGGTCCTGCATTCATTGTTTTGCATGGAACAAAAGCGAGCAACAACCAGGACCAGCTCTGGATGCCAAATCCATCAGCCACCAATAATTTGGCTAAACGATCCAACCTCCACCACCACCTCTGGGAGGTGACGGTTTGAATTGCCGGCTTACTGCGCCGTGGTCAAACTCCTTAAATAGGGAATGAGGGCCCCCGTAGTAGGAATCCTTTTGACGGCGCTTTTAAAACCGACGGTCTGATGGCCATCCCCATTGCGCCCAAAGAACAATCTTGTGGCCACGGCGCAAACGATGACATCTGCACGAGACAGCGCTGGGTTTCGCCGAAAGTGCGCCCAGCTTAGATGCTCGTGAATTGCGGTTGTCCTTCATGTCGTTGCAGCTTGTAAGGACGGACTTGTTTTAGACTCGCACAGCTTGAAGTTTCCGCAACGGCGCATCAAAGCCTGCTTTGGGCCAATGTAGAAGACATGTGTTGAAGCCACACTAAAAAACACGGGCTTACCACCAAGAGGTGTGAAATGACAACAAGCCAAGCAGTGATAGTCCGTGGCAAACACTGAGCACTCAAGCAAGAACTACTTGCGAGTGTATATGGAAATTCCTACGACAAATGCCAAACGACCCTTCAGGTTTGATATGCTAATTACTTGTCGCATGCTGCAATGAGCTTGGGGTTTGCCCTCCGAAAAAACCGCGGAGTATAAAAAGACACCGCCCCTGCCTGGCAAGCTGCAAACCTCGCGGGCACGTGTTGTGTAGTGGCGCAGCGTGGTGAGACCCAGACAGGACCGAAGCTCAGGGCGGAATATTCTGGGCGCCCTTAACGATTCGTGTTGCCAGCAGGAAGAATTGCGCACCATTGGCATTCCGCACACCACACGCATCACACACGCACACAGACACACACACACACACACAATCCGCCCACCACACACCACGCACCACACAACACGCCACGTGCCACACACCATACGCAACACGCCGCCACTACACGGCAAGCCACACACCAAACACTACACCGCGCGCCACACACCAGGCGCCCGCCACACACATACACACGCATCTCACACACACACTCACACTGCCACACTCACACTCTCAAACTCTCGCTCACACTCACTCACACTCACTCGATCACTCACTCACGCATGCACGCACGCACGCACGCACTCACTCACACACACACACTCACTCACACACACTCACGCTCACACTCGCTCCACTGACTCCACGCTCTCCACTCGCTCCCCTCACTCCACTCCGCTCCGCTCCACTCCACGCCACTCCGCTCCACCACTCCACTCCGCTCCACTTCACTCGGACATGCGCACAGGTTCCACACGTGACATCCAGTGTGTGAGATGAACCGGACACAACCGGTATCAAACAGGAAGACGCAAAGGCCAGGAAAGGTTGCGCCCCTTTGCTCAGCAGGACCCCAACTCTTGACCGCAACAATAGCACAGCGGACGTTTTTTGCTAGGAGCAAAGTCCTTTGGACAACAGTGGCCGTTCCTGGATCAAAAGGTATTCAAAGCTCTGTGTCCCGCCATACTGCTGATGCAAGTTGTTCTTGCAAGCACACCACGCGAAACTCCTTGTTCACACTCAAGTGTTTCAAGCAATTTAAAGGTCCTCGGACACGTTGTCGTCAGTACACAAAGTTCTCCGACTCCTCCAAAACGAATCCTGAAGCGCCTCTGTTTCTTCAGGTGCGTTCGCTCTCCGTTTGGGACAAGCGTTAGACAAGTGACCTGGTCTACAGCAAGTCCAGCAAAGTTGGGAACCGAAGTTCTTACCTTTGCCTTGCCGTTTCCTTTTTCCAAGCCCTTTCCTTCGCCTGCCTTGCCTTTTGCCTTCGCGTGAAAGTTCCAGAGGGGTCCTTTTACTTTCCCTTTGGCCTTGCTTGAAAGGCCTTCTCCTTTGCCTTTGCGCCAAAGTGAGCCACCTTTGCCTTTGCCTTTTCTCCAAAGTGCTCCGAGCGAAAGTACTCCACTATTGAGTCGCAAGCGCTGCTGCAAAGCTCCAGCGGTCTTACTCAGCAAAGTCGCTACTAACACGCGATCGGGAAGTTTGGTTCCAGGTAGTCGCTCATGCTTGACCTTGACGGTTTCCCAGTTGTTGAAGTCAGCCTCAAAAGTTGCTGGGTTAACTTGAAGTCTAGGAGCTGAGTTAAAAGTGAGACACACCTTGTGGCGTCTGGCAGCGCAAAGTTGCGGTAAAGCCGAAAGGGTTGCGTCTGTCTCGCGGTGTCTGTAGTGAGGTTCGTTAGCAAGTGGTGCGGCTTTCGGCTGAAAGTCACCGCCTTTCTTGATGCCTCCACATCCGGATCGCCAGTCTCCAAGGTGATGAGTGCCAAGTCTTCATCCTGAACTGGCTCAGCTCTTCCTTCAACCCTGTCAAGTACCCCAATTGCGGAAGTCTCAAACACCGAAAAGCATGCTTTGAAGTTTGAGGACCACTCTTCCCACTCCGATGGCGAACTGCGAGTGGATGGCATTGGCAACCTAAGTCTGCCAGTGTCATCGTGCGCCTATGTCCAAAAAACCAAGAACTGTAAAGTCACACCAAACACAAACCGAAGTATGTGAAGCACCCTTTTCTCTGGCGCAAGCTTGAGCCACCAAAGTGGCAGCTGTATCATGACATAGGCATGTGGAAAAGGTGTATTTTTGACACGCAAACAAACCAACCAACCAACCAACCAACCAGCAAGCAAGCAAGCAAACAAACAAACAAACAGCAAACACGCAAACAAACAAACAAACAAACAAACAATCAAACAAACGAACAAACAAACAGACAGACAAACAAATAAACAAACAAGCAAACACATAAGCAAGCAAACAAGCACACAAACAAACAAATAAATAAAGAAAGACAGAAAAAG